TTTCGTTCTTACGCTTCCAGTAGGGGGTTATTGTCAAAAAGACTACTATTTGAGGGTAGTTTTAACATTCTAGATAAGGCCTGCTTTGACTCTGACTTGACACCCTATCAGGCCTCAATGCAAGTATCCAGGGTCCCCTATTAATGCTATATGAAATTTCATAATCAGATCTGTAATATATCATATATTAATGATGTAAAGGACAAATATCACGCACTTTTTCTTATGTTTAAGAAACATTTCAATGTATCAAAATTTCTGGAGATATGATGCGCTAACTAATAAAATTTATTTACATAAATTACTCCCAAAAGTTGCTAGATTTCCAACTTTCCTTCCTTTTTTGTTTCAAAGCATGTGGCTTTAGAATACAAAAATTATCCTGGTGTAAGAATTAGCGTTAACCGTGCTTTTGTTTTACATGTGTAACAAACTCAAGCTGTTTCTATATTTCATATTCGTTTGACGACGGGCAGTGTTAAAAAGGGATAAGATTTATGTTGCTAAGTTGGCGCTATATGATGCTTTTATAGTTACTAGCAGCTAGGGTTAGTGAAATAACGGAATTACATTTTCATTGCAATTAGAGACACCTGAATAACATCACCATAGGACTTTTAATTGGTTATGCTGTGCTAGTCTGTCTAGACGGTAATATAGGATAAAGTCTGGGAAACGTTTGAAAAATAAACATTTTAAGGACAGCACACTGGGTAAAGCAACGGAACTTATTTCCGCTCACCAATTCTAATCAAGAAAATGCGAGAAAGTGGACTAGCTGCTTTTGAAGGCCATTCAAGTCTCATTTCAAAATTGAAACAAGACTTTCCCTAAAACAAAAGGATTTCAGAGGATTTTCAGATAAAACAATAGGATTTGCACAAAAGGTGTACAGGATCTTCTTGGAGTGATTTACTCCTTGATTCAAGTCTCATTGCAACTTGTGATTCAGTCACAATCATTTTATCTGCAAGAGTCAAGTATGCGCCTGTCACGGTAGCCATTCATTAAGGAACCTTTTTACAAACAGAATTAAAAGTACAATTTTGTTACTGGTGCCATGAATATGAGCCCCATGCCAAATCAGAACACCATTACATGATCAGAGAAGATTGAATCGGAAATAAAAGCTTGCCAATGTCCCTAAATTTGTGAACTGTTGAGCCCAGGCCGCAGACATTAATATTCCATGTTTTGGTATTAATATTGATTTAATACCATCGATCCTTCGTCACTATGCTTGCTTAGTTAACAATTCATTTTTGGAGGACTAATATAATTTAAAGGGAACTCTGTAGGCAATGCTGGATATCCTAAGATATCTTTTTATTCAAATACTTGCTGAATATTGGTCTCTTTTAAGGCTCTAATTCCCCGCGAATCCCTTTATCTCTATTTTGTGGCTATGTTAACCTCCTCTTCTCTCCATTCATTTATCCGTAATTTTTTTCATACTTTTCCTGTTTTTCTTCTTCCAATCACCGTTTATTTGTGCTTCATACAGCAATGATTTCTTTTTATCTGAAATAGCATTTGGATACTCTTATATCTGCAGTCAACATTGATAACTATTTTTTTGCTTATTTCCAAGCGCATTCAGGCACTCAAATTAATTGATTTTTTACTAGCGTGTTTTCTTTTCACTTACATCTTAGTCTTCATTTTAAGTGATCTAGATATCTTAATCGAATCGTCTATACATCCAAAACTCGAATTCATATTGGTAGCGTTGTTTCAGGTTACTGCGAAGTAAACGGGCATACCTATCTAGTAAAAGGCGAGTACAGGCAACAAATTATTTTCCTTGTATGGCAAGCAAATGAAAAGGCTATCGTGTTGCAGCTTTTAGACTTGAAAATTGGCTTTATATGCCAGGACCCAGTGATTAGTTTGCACGTCAAAAAACGATATGAAATCAAATCAAATTCCTTCCTTGTCAATGTATAATCACAAGCCGCAAAATGTCACTGATAGAAGATATTGCTACAAGTTGATTTAGTTCCGCTATCAATCTTTTTGTGAAATGAGCAATGATGGTTTTATGGGGTATTTTAGCGCCATCGTCACCTCTTTCGCTTGGTAAAGAAATATGTACGGCAGACCAATTGGCGACAAAGCAAGTCGGTTGTTAAAAACAAAATTTAACGATGAATGGCCGGGACAGTTTAATTAACCGACCCATTTTGATGACATTATAGCAGTCTCTGACAGCGCACCGTATTATACATAGTTTTTGCACGATTTCGTTACATTAAAGCTTGCGATGATGGGTAACTCGCAAGATCTGGCTTTCCGCTTCACAACTTTCCTCAAAATTACATGAGAACAAGCAGTACCTCGGCCTCAATTTTTCCTCAGTTTTGACCCGTTTTGAGGCACTTTCTTCTTCAAAATTAGTCTTATAAAAAAAAGGATAAGAAATTCAGAAACTCTTTTCATGCTGTGATGCGTAAAACAGGACGGTTTTCAGTTGCTTTTAGTAGCTTTACCCATAATACCATCAGCAGGCAATTGAAAGCAGTTGCACTGTAACTAAAAACTGAGGGTAGGAGTTGTAATAAACCAAGGAGGCAGCTTCAATACCCGATATTCAGATAAAAAATGTTTCTGACAAAATAGGCCTATATCGTAACTTTTCTTTTTCTCATTAGCCTTTCTTATCTTTTAAATAGAATAATCGGGGAATAAGTTATTTTGCCAACCCCCTTTAAATTCTGCTTGCTGCTTGCAACTACAATCTTAAATCGCAATCATTTGTTCATCGATTTATGTCTATGGTTAAGATTGTAAATCCAAAAAAACATTACGGTTCAACGGCTTTGAGCCGGAGGAAGGGTATCCAAAGACGCTGTAGTTTCGAGGATTACTTTTCTTAACTTGAAAAGAGAGTATAAAGTGAGAAGAATTTAGCGTTATGCTGGAACTGTTCTTTTTTCTTGGCAAAGCCACAAGACCAAACTATGGATGACTTTGCTCAAATTCCATTTTTAAGAAACTTTTATTCGCAAGATACAAGGACAATTTCAAGGTCAATGAAAATGAATAAGACAAAACTTCTTCTTGAGGAATACTGAGGCCTTTTCTGAGCTCTATGTAAACTAAACAAGAAATTGTACAAAATTAAAAAATTATGTTGCAATCTAACTTACGAATGTTATGGTGATTGTCTAGTGATGACGTCTTTGCGACGATGTGGCTATCTTTAAAATTTCTAGCAAAGGTGTCAAAATTAAAATTGCATTGAACAGCAGAGACCCCAACATTGATCTTGTAGAAAATAGCGTTTTGTTAACGTTGACGTAAGGTCACGTGATCAAGGTAGGTAGGGAGTAAGAGTTTGGAGAGTCGCACGCGTTTAAGAAAAAGATTGTAGTTAAGCTTCGGCCATCGTTTTAAAATCGATATAGTTGGAAACGGGTTCTGCAACATAGGTAGAACATCCAGATTATGTTTGAGATTGTGGCCTTTCAAGCCGTTTAAACGAACATCTTGAGCATAATAATTGGAAGCCAGAGTGACTTAGGCCAGCATTTTCCCCACAGATATTTTAGGGACAGCAATATCAGTTTTTTTCCAAGCACTTAAGTATTTCTATTTGCATTCCTCTTTTTAATTCATTCTTGATGGCGAGTTATGGAAAAGCTACAGCACACTTTGTTTCTCTAAGCAGTTGAATAATCCCTCAGGGTAAAACCTCACCATAGTCGCTATTCATTTTCAAACCCTTGATAAATTTTTATATCGTCATAAAATAAAAATCACAGATGCTACCACCGTAAAAAGGCGTATGTCCACAAATGTGAAAAAAAATAATACAAATTCAAAGTATTTTCCCAACAAGACAATATGTTGAATTGTTGAATTATCAAGAAAACTATTGGCATTATTCTTTTTAAAGCTATGTTGTTCCAAAAATTTGGATATTTGAAGAAAATATAACTTTTGGGATGTTCTTACCCCCAGAGAAAGACCTTCAAATCAAAATGGTGCTCAAAGTCATGTTTAGGCATCATATGCAATTATTTTTATTTTGTAATAGTCATTTGGCCTAAGAACACCCTTACTCTGCACACGGGCAACTTTCTGCTGAAAAAGGCTTTGCTTCCGAGATGCTTTCATTTCCTCTCCCTTTCATTTCATTTCAAGAAAGGAAATAGGCAATAAGTGCCTTTAACTGCGGAATTTCACGCGAAAAATAATAAATGAACAGAGTTCTGACTTGCTCACTTACCTTGTGTCGATCAACTGGACATGGACTATCTATCTTGATTAATTGTAAATTTCAAACAAAAATAATTAAAAAGGCGCACTAACCTTCAAATGATAGCTTTCTAAGACGCAATAAAATGCCGTTGCAACAGTGTCAATATTGCCGATTCCTTTTCTTATGAATCCAAGATTCTTGCTTGCTCATTTTTTATAAATAATCTGTAAAGCTTAGTCACCAGAGAGAGTCAATGGCAACAGGGACACAATGACCAGTAAGCATATTGGATACAATGAACGTCTGATTTCTTTGCTTGTATATCATAGAAGATTCTTTTCAACGTAGAAGGGTAGTCAAAGACTTTTTAGCTTTATTCCCAAGTACTAAAAGTTTGAAGTTATCCGTCAGTTTTCCTTTACTAGACCCTTACAGGCGGTGCATAAGGATTCCAGACGAGGGATGGATGGAGGGATGGATGGGATGGAGGGATGGAGGGATGGAGGGATGGAGGGATGGAGGGATGGAGGGATGGAGGGATGGAGGGATGGAGGGATGGAGGGATGGAGGGATGGAGGGATGGAGGGATGGAGGGATGGAGGGATGGAGGGATGGAGGGATGGAGGGATGGAGGATGGCGGGATAAAGGGATGGAGGGATGGAGGGATGGAGGGATGGAGGGATGGAGGGATGGCGGGATAGAGGGATGGAGGGATGGAGGGAGGGGTATGAACTAAGGATTACATGGATGGATCTTATTTGAAAAGTTGGATTTGTAAAGTTACGCAACTGTGGATTGGTTAGTGAGGAATCATTAGCACAATAGAGTGTTCTCTTTTTTCCATTTAAAGTTGTTGTAAAAGACTAAAAACCAAGATGGATTATGATTAATTATATGATTGGATGAGATGGTAAAGACAGGAAGCCTCTTGATGATTATCCGTCTGGGTAATAAATTTATGCTAAGTCTGCAATAATTGAGTGAATACGGATGCAACGACCGTCTCTGGGTTAATATACAAGTGCTTTGTTTCACTGTATTCAGTCAACCTTTACTTGACTGTTGTTCATAGTTTGAATATAACTGGCTCAGCATAGTTTCCGGGACACATTTTTCAAGATTGAACCGTATAGTAAACTTCTGTTCAATATACATATTGTTTCATTGTGCAGTGTTTAGATCCATTTTTCAAGATATATATGAAGCTACCTCAAAAGCAACTATTGTGTGTCGAACTAATTAATACCTTTTAAGCTTTAAGAAAATTATTCAAATTTACTAAATGATAAGTTCTGAGAAGATATTAAACAAAGAGATTGCTTTGAAGGTTTTTTGCTTATCGAATGTGTTGTGTGGCTTCTAAACTCATGAAAAGAAAATTTACGAATGAATGTTCAATTTATCACCGTAAACAACCAGTCAATTACATTTGGAACTAACAAAAACCTTGTCTCAAACTGACCATTCAACTATACTTTTTGGTAATAAAGAGGATGTTACTTTGTTTTTGTAGCCCATTAAGGTAGTCTCTTCAGTTATTGCTGCTCGTAGAAGATTTGAAAAATGATACCAGAAGCACAATTGGAAATCAAAAGAACTCGCCTTTGAAATAGAACTAACGTAGTATCCCAGTTTTGTCGAAAAGTAGAATGTCAATATTCTGAAATGGATTCACGTCAATAGAAGATGGAATACTACTATCACGATGTCTTTTTTGTCGACGTACTTGCCTTCTGTTTAATCACCAAGCTGCTTTCTCAGTATTTTGCAACACTGGATGCTCCAAGTAGGCCTTGTTACAACATTGAGAAAATTCTCACGAAGGTCGCCAACCACGTAAGAGGGAAACATAAAGTTCTTGGCGTTTAATGTTGAAAAATGCTGACAGGGCAGATTATGCTGAGAATCAATCATAGTTGACTAATTGCACAAAAAGCGACAGACAATCACTTAAAACAAATTTTGGGTTTGCAGAAGCTTACATTTCAAATCATTTCAATATTTCAGACACATCAAAGCAATTGAATTTAATTGGTGTGCTGAATAAGGGAAAAGTGATTTAAAGAATCACTAATAAAGTTGAGGGGTTGTCCGGTGCTTGGACTTTTTTAGATTAAAGGTACAAATCACTTTTTGGGACAATGCTGAATTTTGGAATACATTTTTTATCCTGCTACGGGTGCAAAATAGCATTTCTCTTCTACTTTTAATTTTTTTTTCACCTGAGTACCACGCAAGAGTGCTTCATCGGTAATGGCATTAATTCTGATGCATGGAATGCCACATCACATGCTGATCCATTCATTACATATTGCTATTATCAATGTATTTCCCTGCAATCTAATGCGACTTTCAAATGCCTCTCTAATGAAAGCAGCAGGATGTTGGCCTTGTTATATGTGTTCCTTACGCATTGCATTCGACGTATGCTGCATTCAGTGCAAGTGTTCTTGGAGGTCAGGCGTCAAAGATGTCCCATGGATTAACATGGATTACGGTGCATTCAAAGTAAATGGAGAATGCAGAATTCTTAATTGCATTTGCATAGTATCAATAACGCAATGTGAAATTAAAAGGCACGGGTTCTGTGTTGGCAACATTATTGAAATACTGCACAAGGTTGGCCTTGTCAGAAAATAATTATGATCATTGCTTGCGAGCTTTGGATGGGGTCAACCCCCCAAGACAAATGATGGTGATGAAAATTTATGATGCTAATGATAATGATGATTGATTCATGATTGTAATGATTGATTGGTTGGCTGATTGATTGACTGTTATGATTGACTGATTGATCACACTGAAGAAGGATAACAATGATGATGTTAATGATATTGCTAATTATTGATTGACTGATAAGTTGTTTGATTGATTGATTACGATGATGATTGACGATGATTACACGGGTATTGCTGATTCTAAAGTATGGAAGAAATTCTGTTTAAGAAAGGAAATAGGCAATAAGTGCCTTTAACTGCGGAATTTCACGCGAAAAATAATAAATGAACAGAGTTCTGACTTGCTCACTTACCTTGTGTCGATCAACTGGACATGGACTATCTATCTTGATTAATTGTAAATTTCAAACAAAAATAATTAAAAAGGCGCACTAACCTTCAAATGATAGCTTTCTAAGACGCAATAAAATGCCGTTGCAACAGTGTCAATATTGCCGATTCCTTTTCTTATGAATCCAAGATTCTTGCTTGCTCATTTAGATTTTCAAACGTCTGCTAATTAAACTACCTGTTCTTGGCCAAATCGGACTAAATACTAAGTAAGCTTCTGCATAAACCAGGATATACTAAGATATGCATTGCATGGCATTCCTCCGTGCAATTCATTCGACTATAATCCCGTTAGTAACCCCTGCTGCATATTTGTTTGAAATATCCTTTTCCCATTGCAGAAGAAAGTCGCACAGCGAAGCTGTCTCTGAACATGCCAGCATCTAGAACCTTCTATAAACACATATTTATTCTCCACTCAGTAATGTTCATCTAACAAATACCAACTAGCGAAACTTTCTAAAACTTTTGCACCTTCCATTTTCCCCTTCTTTCATTTTCATACCCTGTCTAGCTTTGACTGTTAACAGCTTAATTTTTTATTGTTAATTTGAATTCATGGGTGGCCTAAAAATTATTGTGAAATCCACCATTTGCCATTTTCTTATACTTTTATCATCTTTCTTCAATTTGCTTAAACCTTTTTTAAGCTTCCTAGGGAATTTACAAATTTCAGAATATAGTTGAAAATTGTCCGTTAATTTGATGCAGCGGGGTCAGCCAATACAAATCTTTAAGCAAGTTCATAAACTTGAAACATCTAAAAATAAAATATTTCCAGCATAGAAAATGCTCAATGAGACATTTTGAACTTTTTCAAATAGGCCAGTCTTCGCCTAATTCTCAGGCTAGATCTCAAATTGAAACACTGCGCAAACCAGGTTGAATAATCATTTCACCAGCGACAGCAGATAGTTAAGCTATCTTTAAGAACATTGCAAGAATCTATTTATGTCTAGTCTCTATAACTTGTCCTGTGGTAAGGCATTTTAGTAGAAACCTGGCAACAAGCCTTCCTGGCTATGTCGTCACCATTGATCTTATGAGAGCCTAAAATCCTTTCATGATTTATCACCGTTTGCATTTTCGTGTCCGTAAATGAGCTTTAAACATCACATTTAAATCTCAATAGGACAGGTGTCACAAGTTGGAGAATTTCAATCAATCTTGAATTTTTTAAATGTTTTCATAAAGTGATGAAGTGAATTTTTGGGCTTCTTGCTTCGAAGGGTTTAAAATTAAGACTTTGTAAATTGGCTTTGAAAGTTTGGACATTAAAGAATGAAAAATCTTCATTTTGTAACTAGTTATCTTACAAAATGGTTTTCTTAATTCAATTTTCAAAGAACGGATATATAGCCTTAATCTTCCTTTTATGTCTTCATTTCCATCATTTCAATCCAATCTTAACTCATGGCAGCAATACAATCAGTAACAATAATTTGACTAACACAGCATTCATTTCCATTTTCGCTTTTTTAATTGAAAACGTATTTCCTCGAAATATTTCTAAGCCAGTTGCATCATGGAGAAAATGTCCGGGAGCTGAATTTTTAGATTTCATCATAACGGCCTTCTGTAACAGCATCGACAACTTTTATTAATCACATCATCTGACGTTATCAGTCTATGTCCATTCAATATGGCTGTTTGACTTGCAGTGCTTCTGTTATTTCAATCAAATTGAGCGGGTATCTAACGGTAACGGCGCTGCGTTCCTACGAGGCTTTTCAGTTTTGTTTGCGGGACATCTCAAGACAAAACGCCGCTCATGAGAGAATAACATAGGCTGCAAAAAAGACTGAATTGCCACTGTGAGAGGCAAGTCATCCATTAAATTTCTCAATCATTTTCTGAATAACATCTCTGCAACAGTGAGGTTTCCGTACGTGCAGTCGTAAAGAACTGAGGTATAGAATCTGATACAAACTGCTTGTCTTGTAGAAAAGAACTAACTCGAGTTGTTTAATGACAATACCTGTACAATTTACGCAGAAACCATTGCTTTTTCTAGAACAGTGTTTTCAACCCTTTTTTATCCACGGCACATTGTTTTAATTGAAAATATCACGGGGCACACCACTATCAGATAAAGTTAAAAAAGAAACTATGTAGCTAATATTCAAAATACAAAGACGTTCACATCAAAGTATCTTGAATAGGAATCAAATAAACACGAAAAAACTTTTCATGATAAAATAGAATATTTTATTCACTTAGTGTGAAACCTGGACCTGTTTTATTTGACCAATTTGGTGACATTAAAGAATTTTCCACGGCACATAAGACAATATCTCACTGCTCACTAGTTTGCCACGGCAAAGTTGTTGAAAAAGACCTTTCTAGAAAATTTGAATCTCTAATATAAGCAAAAATAATGTGCCAGGTGGCAGGCAAAGATTGACCCGATGCTGCTGTGAAGGAAATTCTCAACGTCAAGCCATTGTCTCAAGGTTGAATAAAGAAGTTATTTTTTATTACCGCGGTCGTTCTCAATGAGTTTGATATAAGATCAACTTGAAACTGGTACAATACATCAAAGGAGCTGCCTTTGAGACAGCTGAATGCGAATTTTTTTACCACTGAGGGTCAGGTATGGGTCATGACTGGAGCTGAAGCAATCAAGTTTCGTGTTTTGACCTCTTCTGATGCAATGCACCCTAATATTAATCTAGGAAATCCTAATTTCAAGGATTTTCTTTTAGAATTGTAATATCATTCCACCTTTGATTAAAAGTTTCATCGAAATTCATGATTTAGCTGTTTTGTTTCTTGTAACATAAAACAAGACAATGAGGTCATTACCTTGAAACTAGACCCCAGACTTTCATCTGGCAGTTGATTGGACAAAATTTTGCAAGTTGATTGGCTGATGCAGTACACGTGCTAAACTTTGATTCACGACTGCTTGAATAAAGAAAGTCCGCTGAAAAAAAGAATACCAAAGATTTTTTAGCAAATCTAGGAAAATAATCAGCAGAAAGAAGGATTAACGCTTTATCGTGGCATTGTACATCACTCCTAGAGAGTGGTAGTATTTAATCTTTAAGATTAAAAGAAGGAAACGAGAAGACTCGATCGCCTTCTTCTATTTAAATGTGGCGGCAATAAAGAGAATTCCGTTTTCGGTGTCTTTGCATGTTGAGTTGATGCTCCCTCACGCAAACCAATGTCCTTAGAATTCATATTTTCCTTCTTTCGGTACCTTATGTAACTAATAGAAATTCAACGCGTTTTCAAAATTGATTTAATGACTCAACATTCGTACACCTGGAATACAGAAAGGCTAAAGTACGAAAATTAGGTCAACATCTCTAACTTAGGTAAAGGCAGGATCGATTCCAATTGATGAGACTACACTATATTAATTGTTTAAAGAATGGTTGTTGGTATCAAACTGAAAGTAATTCGTTTAATTGAAGCTTTATACAGATTAACCTACGTTATGCAGTTTTGCACCCAAAAATTTATAATGTGCGCTAATAATAACGGGACAGTCACTAAAGATGCGTGACAATTTGCAGAGAAAATTTTTTTTGTAAATAGTTATAAGGAGAAACTATTTTTTGGCAATTAATTCTTAGATATCATCAAGACAGGTTGTAAACATCCAAAGAGTTAAGTATAAATTATACAACTTCAAACGTATGAAAGGTTTAAAATAGTCTTCTAGCAATTTTGTAATCACAACATGTTACAGTTGTGATTAAACCGTATCGTTAACAGACGTCTACAGCTGCATCGCCAACATGAAAAAGCAAAAGAGGCAACGCTGTGTAGAAGAAAACAGAACGACGTCATGCTTAATCTGCGCCGAATCGCCTTTTCGAAATCACTAGTGGTGGTCTCTTGATAAAGACTTTAATGTAACGCTCACTGGAGCTTCATTGATAAGGGAGCAAAAACAGCCTCATTTTGAATGGCAAACTCAACAAACAATTCCGCGCGATACAAAATGCCGAAAAAGGTCTCAGAAATAAATATTTACCACAATGGTGGGAGTTATATATAAGAGGGAAATCCAGAGAGAGGTAGACTTGGCAGAAAGATTACTTTGTCACCAAAAATAGAATGCGCCTTTTCCGCCAACAAACTAAAACTAGTTTTATTTAAGTGTACATTGATACTAAATCATATTTGCCAACTCATGGCTTAATCTAGTGATAGTCACAATTTAAACAAGTAGAGACGTACATATTTTCAAAGCAGATATGATCGATTGGAAGATTAATAGACTTCCCATCGGTGTGCATGTCCAATTAGCTACATTATTGCGGAAAATGATTCAGAAAAGGTAACACAGACATTCAAGCAAGTTCGTAAGCTCTTAAACCTTCACTACCATAATCAGTCCAGTGCAATTGCTTCGAGACCGCGAAGGAAATGTGAACATCACTGGTAACAAATAAGTTTTCCAAAAACAGTGTTTACATTCCATATTCAATTTTTTTAAAGTATTTCAGCAATCGTAGGCAAGGCCAGGCGTCAATCAATGCACTCGATACAAAGAAGAACTTCTTCGTATGCAAGGAGCCAAACAACAGCCAAACAACAAGCTTTCATGGTGTTCGTATCATGGCCTAATTCTCTATGTCAGAGGAAGCTTTACTAGACTTTTAGGTAAAGTTTCTTTGTTAAGGTCACTATAGGTGCCGGTATTTGTCTTGACTGTGAAATAGATGATACTCTTTTTGAGACAGCATCATTTACTTTTATAAGCATACTTAAGATATCTTCTTGTGAAACGTATTTATTGAAGACGTCGACCAGTGCATCGACAAACCAGGAGCCGGTTTCAAAATTTCGCCAGGCGGCATGTCCAGGCAACGTTGAATACGACATGAGAATGTTTGCTTGCATCGGGGCAACAACATCTTGAACAAATAACTCAGACGATTCTTGTGCCTCGTTTGGAGTTGTCTGCTTTGTTGTGCAACCAGGATCGCCATGAAGGACAACTTCATACGAATGGATCTTCTTTTTTGCAGCTTCGCTTGCATCTACAGTTACAACTTTGGAGACCCGACATGCCTGTATGAAGAATAACTTCGGCTTATTAGCAAGCTCTGGATTGTCCTCACACCTTAGAAGCGGATTAAGCAATTCTGAAAGATGTATCAACTCTCCATCTGATCCATAAATTTTACCAGAAACCCCATGGCTAAGAAGACACACTATCAAACAGTCAGTTGTAACATGATCCATGCTGGCCAGTTCCCATATTAACTTCTTCATATCTCCAACTGAGGCATTCTTAACCATTCTTGTGGTAAAGTTTAAAGAAGAAAAAAGCTCTTTTAAATTCTTTGCATCTATGTCAGAACCAATTCTATCAGAAATGTCACCCACGAATTCTTTGTTGTTTATTATCAAGCAAGTTCCACGAGGTGTGTGTGTCATAGGGTACCTATCAGTGCTTCCAGCTGTGGCTTCGATTTTCTTCCCTTGCTCGTGTTTCTTAGTTGCACTGTCCACTTCATCTGAAACAATAACAGTTTTATAAGAAAACAAGACATTTCTTTTCTTTCAGATGATATATAATGTAAAGGTGATAATGGTTCATGATTCGTTACAAAACCATTTGGCCTATTTATCATATAGTGAGGGCATCCATTGTATTCAAACTGGGATAAAATTTTGAAAGAAACAGTTTTCAGACTGAAAGCAGTGGTGTAGTAAAGGGGTAAACCAGCATAACACAGTTATGCCTCCTAAAATATTTGGGCTGCAGCGTTATACTACCTAAACAATCAAACGGTAGCGTTATGCTTCTTAAATATCAGTAGCATGCTAGATATAAGTACAAATAGCCAAATTTTTATTAGACCATGTAGCAAATTGTTTAGGCTTTCAATACTTGTCTCAACCAAGGTTCGAATGAGTATGAAAGTGATTAAAGTCACATGAAGAAATCGCAATTGCATTTTCGACATTTGCTTATGTATACTGAACATGCGTGGTCCGGAAGACCTTTGTTTCGATTGTACGCAGCACTGTAAATAGAATATTGTTTATTGGTCAAAGCAGAGAGAAATATCATAGAAGAAGTAGAGAATATGGTTACGTCATCTACTTATATTCGAAACGAAACAAACAAGAAAATTGACTGAAGAATAGCTGCAGGAAGGCGAAGATTTGGGCAATTTGTTAATTCATGAGAAAAAGTCAATGCTTTAAATTTGAAGAAAAGAATAACAGATGGAGTTATAATACTAGCAACAACATACCATGTGAAAACATGGGCACTGGCATAAACTGGCAGTGACACAGGGAAGTATAGAAAGAGCAATGTTTAAGATCACATGCCTAAGCATGTGAACAAATGAAAGTTAAGATCATAAACCAAATGGCTTGATGTTGTAGTCAGAGAATCAGAGAAATATAAGTGGTGAATGTGCAAGCCATGCAGCCAAATGGACCCAAAAAATTGACAGAGAAGATAACAATTTCAATAAAGAGAATGCGAAAGACTTAAAAAGGGACAAAAAGATTATCTGCAGAACCAAGTTGAAGTGAAATCAAGTTGAAGTGGACATGCAAATAAATCTGTCTACTAGATTATGTTGCTGTGAAGAAAACATGCTGTTCTCAAACAATTTTTTGCATGGTGAACATACAAAGATAATCAATTTTGGAAAAACCAAATGAGGATCTAAAGAGATGCATTTTTCTCTACTGATGGTCACAAGCTGTTGATGACATCATCAAATCAAAGAATTCATTGTAAGCATCATCCAGTGGTGTCAAAAAGGTATAAAACCTATCAAAGTACTAGCATTTGAGCCTAAACTTTATTGAAAACATTAAAGTAATTAAATTTTATAGTCTGTATCAACCAGCATATGCGAGAGCCAATGAGAAAAACTTTTGGCAGTTGACTTGGAAATGAAAGGAAATAGGAAAAGAGACTTCAAATTAGCATAACATTTCCTGTTCAAAAGCTTTGAAGAAGGATTCACAAGTTAATAACCATAAAATACACTTTCCGACGATATAAAATTTTATTTTTACAGAGTTTTTCCAGATTGACCATCTGATCAAGGCCAAGATACCTCTTTGTTGACATCATCACAGCATCTGATACATAAAATCAAATTTGTGCAGGTTATTTACCTGTTAAATATAATTTTAAAACCCAGAGATTATTTAGAAAGGGCACCATCTCAATTTGATTCAAGACAACATTTAGAAGAAAAGCTTCTTGTATGTATAAGAACATTTGCAACTTATAATAGTAATGTGGGCAGATCTGTTTCAAAATGTGTTCCTTTTCACTTATAACCATTCTAGACAAACCAAGGCAGTTACTCCTGTTCACTTTGCTTCTTTTCAAAATGTGTATAATTTTTTGGTATTTTATCTCAGTGAAATAGGTATAAAATGTTCTCACATATAAATCAGAGAAAAGGGAACTTCTTATATCTCTCAGATGAACTAGGGTACACCACTGAATAAGAGTGGACACACTGGGAATACACCAAAAGCGTTTTTCTGTCATAAAAAATTCAGAACAACAGTTGAAATGAGGGGTTAGAAAATGTATTTATCTGGTCATTGGTGGTTTGATGTAAAGAACAGGATGGTTCTAAGTTGCACTTGCACTGCACTCGCTGGTTCTAAGCTGTTATCTGAAGATGGCAATAAGCATGAAACTTGAAGTTGGAACTTAAAGCAGTCCCGTTTCGGTCCCTAAAGTGCCTTACAAAATAACTAATGAATGGTATTTCCTAGTTCCTATTCTCAGGGTTGTTGTTAATGGTTATATCATTTCTCTTATATCTAAATACTTGGTCTGTTTATAACTTTAAGAAATAATTTTCTAAAAGCAAAATACAATACTCTTGCCCTAATGGTAGCTTAGAATGCTGCTAATGATTGTAATACCTGCTATGTTCTGCTGACACAGATCATTTTCTTAAAGATAATTTTCTTGATAAATATATGGCTGGCAATAATGCATAAAGTTTCATCCTTAAGCATGAAATTCCTATTTCCATTTAACCATTCGTTCTTAGAAATAACACCTGTTCTAAAACTCTGCCTTAACACATCCTGCTTGTGTTTGTTATGACAAAAGTACCTATGGCTCAAGGGTAAAAAACCAAGAAGTGCCCAAGCTTAACAAATATACAGGGAATGACGATAATGGAAAGAATATTCAGTATCAGGTGTCAAGGGCCACCTTGGCAAGCCAGAACATGCATTCACAAGAAAGTCTGTATTACAGCTATAGGATATTACATCTACATATTACATCGTATGTAGTCTGAAGAAGCAAAAATGTGTGTGGAAACAAGTCTAAAGCGTTTTGAACAAGAGATGTTTGCATCTTTGTCAAAATGAATTGAGCAAGAGATGTTGAAGAGGAAGTTAAGAGCAATGTTATAACTTGTTTTGTTTAATTTGTTTTGTTTTGCTTTCTAATGCTTATCACAATTTGGGCAAAGAGATGAGCAATTTGGGCAAGGAGATTCAGGCCATAATCTAAATATCCTACGTTTGAATCCAACTTGGGATCACTTTCCTCAATATAGAAAGTATGTTACATGCAGGTGTGTGATGTTATTTATTGCCTTCTTGTTACCACCCAAGGAAGTACGTGTACATCTAAAAATGTTATTGTGCTTTCTTTACCAGCTAAGCATAATTACACTTGCCACAAAGAGGAATGATTACAGCTGATATCACAGTGATAAAAGTCTGCAAGGCACACCCTCTTGCAAAAATTTAAGGTACTAACACTAACAGAGCTCTACGACTTGGTGATGATTTAACGACAATAGTATCGGATTCATACCACTTCCCATGTGACTGTCATCAAGAATTCCAACTAAATGTCTGGTCCCTACATTTTGCTGTAAAATTTTTACAAATTCGGCGAACGCTTTCGGCCCTTTTCTTGGAATTGTATCGAGGAAAAGTTCCGCCCTTGACCGTCTGGTCTTCTCAGCTTTAATCAAATCTACATCATTTTCAGTCAAAATTCTCTCTTGGAACAAGTAGCCGACGATTTCATTTGGTTCTAAGTCCTTTACAAGGTCAACACGCCTTTTCATTAGCAACTTTCGATGAGCTTTCAACATATTTGGTTTTCTGCTTGTTACTGGACTTCCGCACAAGCTAAAAATGTTGAACAATAACAAAGGATCATGTTCGTTTTGCCTCTGAAACTGAAAAATCTTGTTACTCCCAAAGGAGGCTAGCCGCTAGATTCGAGAATGTCGAAATGGTTGAAATGGTTCACTGATCAGTCCCAAATCTCCCTAGCAATAAGGGATGTCATATTTCTCAGAAATAACACAAAACCTGAAAGTGCTTCCCCTCGGCAGACCGCTTGAAAATCGAAAGGGAAGGTGTTTTTCATAGAGAATCTCGACTGCTAAAAATAACTTTCTTATTAGTGGAGAAAATCGTCTGCTTTTCGCTTTTGCCCAGGGTGGCTCAGACCCCTTCTACATTCTTCCAAAGGGCGCTCAAGCCCCCCCCCCTCAAGCCAACGACATAGCTAGCGATAGATACAACTGAATAAGGATACGGAAACTTTCTTTTTTAAAATGAGAAATGTTGGGTTTTAGTGCACAGAGTGGTTTAGAACCTAGATTACTCCCAATTATAAACTGGTGGGGGGGGGGGAGGACGAATTGAAAAATTGTTATACAACCACCTCAGCCACTTTTGCGACGGAATTTCTGCTGATGCTGCTTTACCTTTGAACCCAAGTCTCAATAATATAGGCTACAATAATGTGCAGTCGAGAAATAGCGGTGGTTTCGATCAAGATATCTGGAGTTGGGGGTATTTTCGATCAAAAAGAGGCTTTGTGACGAAAAATGGAAGATGAGCCATGGAAGAAGATTCTATTCCTAAGGCTCCCTTTGTAGCTAATTTTGAGTAAAATAGTTGTTGACTGAATCTTGCTTCAGAACTTCAGTGCCAGACTGTGCCTCCTCATCAGTTAGCGACTAATGTTTAGGGCGTAAGTCTCATTTCTTCGCCTCTACTTTCTCAGGTAAGACAAATTTAGTTCCTCTGTGACTGAAATAAATTGCAATCAATGATTAACTTTGAAGATGGACAAAGAATGCAAATTCTTTGCAAGTTGAATTAGTGGCAGAAAACCTAGATTTATTATTGCTAGTTAGCTTCTGTTTACTTTTAAACTTTTATGTTGTTAAATGAAATTAATCAGTGAGACTCTTGCTCTCTCATTATGCAGCTTGTCTCTACACAAAGAATCATGAAGAAACATGTAAGGTAACGAAATTTTTTTATTATGGAAATGTCCCTTTAAATTTGTTTTTCTGCTTTGTTCTTTAAGATAAGAGCGTCATCGTTTTTACAGGATGCTTAAATCTTCTTACTCAGCTGTTTTCACATGGGAATAACCTCCTTATGAAAGATGACTTTTAACCTTTGACGAAGCCATTGTGTTGTTGCTGCAAGGCATCGGGTACAAAAAGAGCTTTTTGGCTTTCAGATCAACATTACATTTTGAAAATGACAGACAAGAAGTCACTGAAACCAAAAAAGCAAAGATGGTATCTTGGTGGCTTTGCTGGCTCAGGTGCTGTGCTTTTCACGCATCCGTTAGACTTACTCAAGGTGAGTGAAGAGAAAGGATTTCGACCATACAGATTGCTGTGGCTTCAGAGCCAAAACAGTGATTTAGATTATTTTGTAAACTTAAAGTTGAAGGATAAAGCACTTAAAAAAGTATATTTCAAAAGTTTTAAACGATATCTTTTCAAAGGCTGAATTTATATTTCCTAAGCTTTTCATCAAAAGGAAAGACGAATTTTTGCGTGGCCCACGAGAATGGGGCGGCAGGGGGTTACCTGTTTTATATTTTGCACACCAATGGAGATCCGACCATGCCCCTAAACACATAGA